GTTTCTTTGATTTCCAAGATACAGCTCCTCCGGCTATACTAAATATATAGCCACTAGTAGCTTTGGAATCATCTGACAAAGTATTCCAATCAGCATCACTGTATCCTTCAAGTACAGCAGGAAATCTCTGATAATGTAAACCGAGGTTCACAGTCTTTTTGAGATATCTCATGACTCGCTCAATAGCTTGCCAATGTTCATTACTTGGTCTACTAGTAAACCTGCACAACAATCCCACGACATATGCAATGTCAGGTCTAGTACAGTCAGTAGCATATCTAAGACTTCCAATGATACTTGCATATTCTGTCTGTTTAACACTTTCACCAGTGTTCTTAAACAGTTTCATGCTTGGATCGTATGGAGTGCTAGCAGGTTCACAATCAAAGTAATTATATTTCTTTAAGATCTTTTCCACATAGTGTGATTGATCCAAAGAAATTCCTTGTTTGGATCTAGTGATCTTGATACCGAGGATTAAATTTGCTTCTCCCAGGTCTTTCATATCAAAGTTGTTGCACAACAAAGATTTCACATCATTAATAGTCTGAATGTTTGATCCAAATATAAGTAGATCATCTACATAAAGACATATGATAGTGCAAATGCGATTCTCAGATTTGTAATAAACGCATTTGTCACTTTCATTCACGTTATATCCATTTGATATCATTAAGTTATCAAATTTTTCATGCCATTGCTTAGGGGCTTGTTTTAGTCCATATAGAGACTTGTCTAACTTACAAACCTTGTTTTCTTGTCCATGGATCACAAACCCTTCTGGTTGTTCCATATAGATTTCTTCCTCTAAGTCACCATTTAAAAAAGCTGTTTTAACATCCATTTGGTGTACTATTAAGTTATAAATAGCAGCAATTGAAATAAGTACCCTAATGGATGTGATTCTAGTGACTGGAGAGAAAGTGTCGAAGAAATCTATATTTTCTCTTTGTCTAAAACCCTTAGCTACAAGGCGAGCCTTGTATTTATCAATAGTTCCATCAGGTTTTAGTTTCTTTTTCAGAACCCATTTACAACCGATCGGTTTGCAACCAGGAGGCAAGTCTACTAAGTGCCATGTCTTGTTAGAATCCAGGGATTCTATCTCATCATTTATAGCTTCTTGCCATAAATCTGCATCTAGAGATGACAATGCTGCTTGAAGATTTATTGGATCTTCTTCTATATTATAAGCCGCATAATCAGGCCCATAGTCTTTAGCGACTCTTACTCTTTTACTTCTCCGAAGTTTTGTTTCTACTTCGTTGTTGTTTTCTGTACTTCTTATCACAGGAATGTGACTCGATTGGGTGCCCCCACTATTTCTCAGTTTGAAAGGAAATTTGTCTTCATAGAATTCAACATCATTTGATTCTATGATTACTTTTGCATTTAGGTCATAGAACCTATATGCCTTACTGTTTGCTGCATACCCAATGAATACACATTCATATGCTCTACTAGCGAGTTTAACTCGTTTCGGATCCGGAATTCTGACATAAGCCAGGCAGCCCCAAGTTCTCAAATAAGACAAGTTTGGTTGTCTTTTCTTTAATATCTCATATGGTGAGATCTTACTTTTTGACTTGGGGATTCTATTCAGGACGTAGCAAACAGTCAATAAAATTTCCCCCCACCAGTGAGGAGTAGCACCAGAATTTATCATAATTGCAACAACTAGTTCGGTAAGAGTCCTATTCTTTCTTTCTGCTTTACCATTCATTTCAGGAGAATATGGAGCAGTCGTTTCATGTACAATTCCATGTTCTTTATAAAAATCATTAAATAAACCAGAATCATATTCAGTCCCCCTATCACTACGAAGTCTCTTAATCTTCTTACTAAGTTGATTCTCAATTTCAGTTACATATATCTTAAACATTTCAAGCGCTTCACTTTTATTCTTCATTAAGTATACATAAGTATAATCTGAATAATCATCAATAAAAGTGATAAAATAACGTTTATTGTTTCTAGTTAAACTTCCATCTAATTCGCATATATCAGAATGTATAAGATCTAGGGGATCAGATTCCTTATTAATTGATTTATGCGAAGTCTTGATTATTTTTGCTTGACTACAATATTCACATTTATTTGTATCATTAATACTTAATTTAGGGATTAGGCCCAAGTTGCTTGCATTATGCATAATTCGCTTATTAACGTGACAAAGTCTAGTATGCCAAATATTAAAATCACACAAAGAGTAAACAGAAGGAGAGATCTTATTAAAATCAACATTCAACTTAAACATGCCATCAGTGGCGTACCCTTTCCCAACAAAAATACCATTCTTAGTGATGGTGTACAAATCTGCCCCTAAAGTTTGACTAAACCCTGCCTTATTTAAAAGAAAGCCAGAAACAAGATTCTTCCTAATTTCAGGAACGTGCATGACGTCCTTCAAGATCAAAGTCTTTCCTGAGGTGAATTTCAGCTCAACATCTCCAATTCCAGCAACCTTAGTGGTGTGAGCATCTCCCAACAACACTTTCTTATCTTCAACATTCATGTATGTTTTGAACATAGCACGATCGTAGCAGACATGACGAGAGGCGCCAGTGTCTATCCACCAACCATCACTTCCACCAACCATATTGACTTCAGTGATCATAGCAATGAATTGCTCATCAGTCAGGTTAACCTGAGCATTTGAGCCAACAACAGGTTTAGGCCTGCTCTTACACCTTTTTGCCATGTGACCCGGTTTCCCACAATTGTAGCAAGTGAAAACCGGAGCATCATTTCTCTGTGGTGGTGGTTGCTGCCTAGCAATTGGAGCATTTGGGGCCCTAGAGGGATTCCCATTCTTAATTCGGTTCATAGCATTGCGGTTCTGATTCTTTAATGGTTTGCCCGTAGGCTTCAGAACCGCACCGAATTTCTTTTTGTTGTTCGAAACAACTAAGACTTCATCTTTCTGATCTTGTCTTCGAGCTTCCTCTTCAATTCGGAGGCGAGTAATCAAACTTTCGATGGAAAACTCTTTGGTTTTATGGCGAAGCATATTTTTGAAATCTTTCCAAGCAGGGGGCAGTTTGTCAATAATAACAGCAATTTGAAATTGTTCATTCAGAGGCATACCTTCAGTTATGATTTCATGAGCAATTTTCTGAATTTCGTGGCTTTGAGTTTCCACAGACTTTTCATCCACCATCTTGTAATTCAAGTAGCGGCTGACAGCATATTTCTTTGCACCTGCTTCTTCGGTATCATATTTCTTCTGCAAGGCTTCCCACACTTCTTTAGCACTGTTGTAATTACTGTAGTAATCGTACAGGTCATCAGCAAGACCGTTCAGGATGTGATTTTTGCATAGGTAGTCATTCTCTTGCCATATGGCAATTTCTTTTCGAAGCTGTAAATCATCTGCTGCGGCTTTGGCTTTTGCAGCAGCTTGTGCTTCAGCAGAGCTGGGAGCTTTGTCAGAAGTTACAATGGTTGCAGCATCAGTTTGTTCGGTTGATCCAGAAGGAACAACAGGGATATCCTCAGTCAGAACGTGGGCAACCTTCTTGATAGTCAAGAAAAATCTCATCTTAGCTTGCCAACGTTTGAAATGAGAAGCCTCAAACTTAAACGGTTTGTCAGTGACAGCAGCGACCGCATTATTACCGATAATTTCCTCAGTAGCCATGGCAGTTAAGGCAAACGTCTTAAAATTGTTGTTCACGGATTATTGAAAAAAAAAAGAATAGCCACTGAGAAATTTATCGGGTCGAGTCGCGGTTCGGTACGCTTTCTTTAAGACGTTTCGCCGGATGCCAACAAAGTGCAAGGCAGTCGATAATAGGCGACGTCTCCAGGATAAAACAGCCCGTTCGAATAAAATACGATTATCACTTGCACTGTGATAAATCGTTCTATGAATAACGCCTTCTGATGGTGTAGAAACCACTCGTAGTATCTGCAAAGAAGCAGTCGAAAAAACAGAGTAGAAAAAATTGAGATGAAGCAGAATAGAGAGAGAGAAGAGTGAAAAACGAGATTGTGAATACTGGTGTTATTTGCAAATGAAATAATCACTAATTCAACAAAACGGTTCGAAAAAGTAGGAAGAACGTGGGAGAGGGTTGAATTGGCCCAGTCAAAAGTAACTGTTATTGCTTGGTCAGACAGTCATGCGTTTTGACTCTTGGAAGGCAAGTAATTGACACGTCACTAATTCCGTAATTAATTAATATTAAATATTAATTAATTTCCACTATTTTTAATTAATTAATGCTAATTAATTCCACCGAATTAATTAATTATTAATAATCATTAATAATTAATTTTCACCAAAATCCGGTTCAAAAAATTAATTCATCTAGACCGAACCGAACCGAACCAAACCGAGCCGGCCGGTCGGACGGACGGACGGCGGCGGCGGCGCGCGCGCGTGTCTAGATGACTTAGTGGTGTGTCCTCACTCCTTAACAAAATTGGGGTGCCCCTTGGGGCCCAACCCAAGTGTCCAAGTTGGAGTATTTATGCACTACTAGAAGTTGTGTTCCCTCCAATGTGGGACTTAAATGAATCCTTTCAAATTCACTCACAAACTAGTTCATTCATGTGCTCATTTATTGCCCATTTAATGTCAATGAATCATTCCAATTCTCAATCCAAGTTGTCATCATTCCAAGATTTCCAACAATTCCGAATCCGCATCACCTCTGCAACAAGCACAACAACAACATCACAGTTTTGATCAACATTGCAACAACAACAACAACGAATCTTCACAACACAAATGCATCAAAAACAACAGCTCGCAAAAGCGCAAATACAAGAAGCAGAAGAAGAATGCGGAAGAAAAAGAAATAGGGAGTAATCGAAAATATAGACGAAATTGTACATGAATCAAAGAAACGCCTGATTTATCTCTAGTAGGTAAGCCTTAATCTTCGATTTCTTCCATTGTTTCCAAGTTTATGAAGCGCATAGATCGTACTGTGGATATATGGCATACGATATTTTTTCTTGGTAGTTTATTACGAAAGTGAAGTAGAAGAAGGTCACGTCGTATTGAGATGAAGAAGATCATATCGTTGAGCGGAAACAAGGCCAGAGATGATGATGGATAAGCAGAGAGGTAATGATGATTGAGAGGTGTCGTTGCGATGAAGACACAGGGGTCGAAGAAGAATAACATCACGGTAACATGAAGGATGAGATATGCGGAGATAGGCAGAAATCGCCGGTGAAGAGAGAATGTTGAGACGCGAACAGCGGGTTCTAAAGGGAGAAGGAGGATTTTCTTTTGGGAACAGAAGTTGAATCATCACAGTGAATCAACCCTAATCTCACTAAATCAATACGCAACGTTTGTTGTCCATTTTCTCTCAGTGTTTTGTTTTTTATATAATCATAATCATAACCATAATTCAATAATGCTAAAAAATTGGGTGATAATGTTTATTTGGATTGCTGGGTCGGACCTCACATCTCTTTAAGCACATGACACTTTTTTTGGAAAGCCGAATGCCTTAGACAAAAAAAAAACTGGATATGGATTTGTCTATGTTGGGCCTTTATGTCTAGAGCTTGCTACACATACTCCCTGAATCCAGTTTACACCCCAGTGTAGAGTTGTTTTTAGCTTTTCTTTGGTTTATATATATATATATATATATATATATATATATATATATATATATATATATATATATATATATATATATATATATATATATATATATATATATATATATATATATATATATATATATATATATATATATATATAAAATTGTTAGATAATATTTTTTGTTAATAGAAATTAGTAAAAAATAAGAATAATAAAATAATAAAAATTGTTAATTGTTTCTTAGGAATATAATAGAATTTTTCTAAGATTTCCTTTTTTAGAATTTATGGTTAAAACTTTCTATTATTGTTTATGTTCGGTAATCATTTTGTTGCCAAAATTTTGTGATTCAGTTGTGCTTGTCGAAATTTGAGTCTTATGCAGGTTTAGTGTATGATATGCGGACATGCTTGAGTTTTCAATTGTGATTTATTTTCACATCGATGATGCTTTGACACTAATTCTGAGCATTTGGTTTCTGACTCTTTTCTCTATTGCTTGGTGAAGCTCGCGCGAAGTATTTCGGATTTCTTTTCTTTGGTTGTGCTTTTTGCGGACATTATTGTTTGTTTTGTATTATAATGCTTCCAGTTTATCTTTCCGCATTTTATTGCTTTCTAGATATCATGAGAAGTAGGAATAAAAAGCGTGCACTTGAAGTCGTTGTTTAAAGACATGTAACATGCATCCCACACTTGTTTGCTAATTGCGTCTGTGTTTGTTTTCATGGGTTGACAATCGATGATGTCACTCGATTAGAATTGAGATAACGACTTCGATCTTTTACATGCTCCCCTTAGGATTTTCATTTTCCTTTGTTGATGACTGATGATGCCACTCAATTAGAGTTGAGATAACGAATTCGATCTTTGCATGCTTCCCTTAGGATTTTTGTTTTCCTTTATTGACGATCGATGATGTCGCTCAATTAGAATTGAGATAACAACTTCGATCATTGCATGCTCCCCTTAGTATTTTTTATTTTCCTTTGTTGGCGATCGATGATGTCACTCAATTAGAATTGAGATAACGACTTCGGTCTTTGCATGTTCCCTTAGGGTTGTTTGATTAGGATAGCTTTCGAACTAGATATTAAGATAGTTATCCATGCATGCTAACATAGGGTAGAGATTATCCTTTTCATCCTTGACATATGGCCATCATTGTATGATAACACTAGATTAAAGATAGGTTAGTCTCCCTTAGATTTTTTCTTCCCACTTTGCATAATTGTATTTAAAACCAAAACTTCTTTTTCATGGAAAATGTATAAAACATGCTAAACATACAAAAATTCTTTTCATGGTAAAAAATACCAACCAATTCATTTCTTTTTGCCATTCAGATTTTCTCTTCTAAGAACGTGTTGATTCCTTTCCACTACAATGCGTGAGTCTCTAATGGTAGAGCAGCGGTGGGATGATTGAATTTAACATTGATCACTTAAAATATATATACACACAAAATTTGCGAGCCGAACTACGCGTTTTGATTCCTTAAAGGGGATACATAGGCATCTTGTCACGGGGCTCAATCGAGCGAAAATTTGTAAATATTTCCTTCTTTTCCCCGTGTTTCCTTTGCATGCATTCTCTCTTAGTTTTTATAGCTCTTAAGAATTGGATCGAACACACCATTTGATTAGAACAACAAGAGTAGATCTCGTAGAGTACTACGGATGTGAGGGGTGATAATACCTTCCCCTCGCGTAATCGACTCCCATATCCGATCTCTCGATCGGTAGACCTTGATTTTCCCCCTTTAGGTTTTTCTTTTATGATTTTCCTTTCCCTTTATGTGGGATAAATAAAGACTCAGTAGCAACTTCATTGATTTTACCGCTATAGTACCAAAGTAAGCTTAATTGTTTTAAATTTTGCAAACAGAGAGCTAAAGATTATCCATAGTTTTGAATTCAAAATATTCCTAAACGTGATTTAATTTGCTTTGACTATTCCCAGCTATGTAATCTAAAATAAATTCAACATACTTTGAACAAATATGGTAAAAAAAAGAGCTCAACTAGAGATTATGAATTTAAGAGAGTTAAAGATGAAAGCAAAGTGTTGTACCCCAAAATTTTCCCTCTCATTCTATCAAGATTTCCCCTCACAAGGCTCCTTGAACTCCAGACAGGATTAGGGTTTTGCATTGCCTAAGACATTTCCTTGCACTGATGACCTAAATTAGGGTTTGAGTTTGCACAGGGATTTTTGGACTTCTAATGCTCAAAATGACTTTCATACTTCATGCTGGACTCATAAGTTTGTCCATACCAAGTTTCAAGCCCTGAATCAAATTTTTGCCCAGTCAATTGGACAGTTGACCTAGAAATCAGCTGTATTGGGGGAAAAGTCAAATGTGGCCAATTTACAGTCAAACCTCATTATTTTTGATCCACATCAACATTATCAACTCATATGAACCATTTGATCAAGTTTGGACCACAACTCCATAAGAAATTTGATCAGATCACCAAGAGGGCAAAATGGTCATTTTTAGGGTTTTGATTGTACAAAGGCAATTTCTGATTTTTTGACCTAGCCAATGGAAAATTGGGTACAAGCATGGACTAAAGGACTCAATGGTATCATCTTGACCTATTCACAAGGTTCAAAAGATCTCAAGTGCATTGGATTGACAGATGAATTTTTCAGTCAACTGATCAAAATTTGACTGTACACTGAAAAGTCAAACTTTGACTTTTTTGGTCAAAATCAAGTGCCAATGGTCATTTTTCACCAAGATATGTCAAAACATGAAACTTGTTCATCAAGAAACCCATTTTTGCAAATTAGGGTTTAAAGTTGAAAATTTTCATAACTTAGAATTTTTCTAAGTTATGAAATTTTCTTAATTTTTCCTAACTTTGCCCAACATTTTCACCATGATGCATTTGGATTCAAAAAAACTCCCAACATGAAAGTTGTAGTCCTTCACAAAGTCTACAACTTTTATTCACAAAGTTTTCCCAAAAGAAGCTTGGGTCTCAAGTTATGATTTTTGGAACAAGGGTCCCTAAAACTTTTAACTTAGTGAAATTTTGCCCTAGTTTAGGCAGGATTTTGACCTTTCTTCATGGCCATTTTTCACATAGTTCCACTTGGAATCTCAAGTTTCATTTCAAATAAGGATTGTAGAGCATGTTACAAGCTTTCCAAAATGTCCAAGAACTCTCTAAACTCATTTGTGGTTAGGGAGAATCGAAGGCTTGAAGTTGGCAAAAACTCACCTTTCATCCATGGCATGTTCATGTGCATACAAGTTACAATTTTAAGTCAGCATGCTTTGCACTAGTTTACAGGCCTCTAAACCATTTCACACTCAATAATTTAATGCAAATACTTTGGTCTAAGGCATTGTTTTGGTCATTAGGGCATTGTACACAAAATTAATCCCTAAGTAGAAAAAGGTACATTTCCATTTTTGCTTAAATGTGCTTTATGTCAAAACTGAATCCCTTGAGCATTGGTCCATATCTCATACATAAAATCAAATATACAAGTTGGAGGGACCAAGGGCAAAGCGTACAAGTATATGGATAGCCTGTACAGGCCTGCTACACATCATTTCCCACTTTTGCTTCATATACAAGAAATATGCCAAATACAAGAGAACAAGGACATCAGCCAAAACCAACTGGTGCAAACATTTTGAACATCTTTATCACACCCCTTTGAGCCATAAACACGACTCTTTGATCCCTCAAACCTCCCATAGCCAGAAATCACCTTCCATTGGCAAAATAGGGCAGCATCTGCAACTTGACTTCCATAGCTCAATTGGCTCGTGCGTTTTGGCCCAAACCTGTTCAAACACCTTTCATTCCATCCATCCAAGCTATCCCAAACCTCAAACACCAACTGTAACTCCATTTACAGGGTTTGCCATTTTCACTTTGAGCTTGTGTAGGTTGAGTTATGTAGGCTTGTTCAAGCATATTCAAGGCAAGTAGGGTATTGGAGAAGGTCAAGTGAAGTTCAAGCAAGCTCCCAGACATCTCAAGCCTTGTTAAAAAGCTCCACATTGCCCTACACGAAGTCAGCTGAAACAGGTTTTTATCAACTTCCTATCTCTCTATTTAGGAACATTTAGCCTTAGGTTTGTGAATAAGAAATGTAGTATTCATTGCCATGAAGTTATACATATGCTCATTTTTCATTTTTATTAAGCATGCTAAGAGAATTTGATCCATGAACATACTGAAAAAACTAGGTTAGATTTTAGGGCCAGAGAAATTTTCTTTGGTCTTTGAGAGTTAGGATAAGTTGTTTATATGGTTGGATTCGTCTTGAAATGCTCTACAACTTTGATGTTATGTGTTTTTGCAATAGAGCTCGTATACAGGATCTGGCAATTGTACAGGGCGCGTGCGTTTTTGAAAGTCAGAGGTTGAAGATGAAGTGGCTTGGGCTGGGCTTTGGTCCTTTCACTTTTGACACCCCCCCTTTTACTTTTTGCACCCCTGGCCCAATTTCTTGATATTTTATATTTTTGCATTTTTATTTTCATTTCTGATTATATTTTATTATTCCCAAATATAAAAAATACTCAAAAAATATTTTTATGAATTTTCACACTTATTTTGTATTTTATTTTTATTTTTCTAAACATAAAAGTAATTTAATGAACATATATCTTTATTTTATTTTAATGAAAACTTAGAAATAAAATATTAAAAATCATACTTTTATA